CTGTTCCTGCTGGTTTTTCCAGCCAGAAGTTATGGGGATTCTCTTCCTGGCACTGGAACCCTGAGCGGGACACCTGGTGTGGGACTGGGACCCCTCAGTCCTCAGGAAGGACCTTCCCAGCCGCGGGAGACTCCTGATTTTTATCCGCCACAGTTGGGTGTGGGACCAACCCATCATGCCTTCACCGCCGCCGCCCCTCCTACCAGCCTGGATGTGGCTGCTGCTTTAATTTCGTAGTTGTAGGACTTCCATTCAGCTTGATTTCAGGCGGTTTTGAATGATGGTTGTTCTGTAGTTTAGTTTTAACTTTGATGTGGTTGTGGGAGGATGCGATATCGCGTTTACCTACGCCGCCATCTTGACCGGAAGTCCTTTATTGATTTTAGAGAGAGGAAGGGAGAGAGAGATAGAAACATCAATGAGAGAGAACACCGATTGGCCGCCTCCTACATGCCCCCCACTGGGGATTTGGCCCACAACCTGGGCATGTGCCCTGACTGGGAATCAAAGTGGTGACCTCTTGGTGCATGGGTTGATGCTCAACCACTGAGCCACACCAGTTAGGCTGTCCTTTGACTCTTGTAACAAGTTTTGACTGTAAGTCTATTTTGACTGATAATCTAGCAACCTGAGCTCTTTTTTTGGTTACAACTTGTATGGAATCTCTTTCCAACCTTTTATTTTTAACCTGTGTGTACCTTTGGATCTAAAATAATTGTCTTGTAGACAACATATAGTTGGATCCTGTGTTTTTATTTACTCTGCCTTTTAATTGGTGTGCTTAGTCCATTTATATTAAAATTAATTATTAGTAAAGGACTTGCTTCTATCATTATTGCATTTGTTTTCTATATCTTTAAAAACTTTTTTTTTCTTTACTGATTTTAAAGAGAGAGGAAGGAAGAGGGAGAGAAAGAAACATCAACGAGAGAGGATATTGATTGGCTGCCTCCTGCATGCCCCACACTGAGGAATTGGCCCACAACCTGGGCATGTGTCCTGACTGGGAATTGAACCAGTGACCTCTTGGTACATGGGTCGACGCTCAACCACTGAGCCACACCGGCCAGGCTGTTTTCTATATCTTGTCATAATGTATATTTATGTCATATGTTTTTGTTTCTTTTTCCTCCTTTTGTGTTTACTTTTTATTAGTGTACTGTATTGATTCCCTTCTCATTTCCTGTTCTGTATTATTTTTAGTTATTTTCTTAGTGGCTGTCCTGGGGATTACAAATTAACAACTTAAATTTATAACAATCTATTTTGGATTAATATCAACTTAGCCTCAATAGTAAACAAAAACTGTTCCTATACAGCTCTTTTCTTCTTTTTTAAGTTGTTATTACCACAGTTTAAATCTTTATATATTGTGTGACCATTAACAGAGATTTATAATTATTGTTATACATTTATCTTTTTAATTATATAGGAAAAAAAGAAGTTATAAACCAAAACTGAAATGATACTGGCTTTTGTATGTGCCTGTGTAGTTACCTGTACCAGTGTTCTTTATTTCTCCCTATGGCTTTAAGTTACTGCTTAATGTTCTTTCACTTCAGTCTGAAAGGCTCTCTTTCCCATTTCTCATAGGGTAGATCTACTAGTAGAGAAACCTCTCATTTGTTTAGAAAGAAAATGTCTTAACCTCTTCTTCCTTTTTTAAAAACTAGGTTAGCCTGATATAGAAGTCTTGATTAACTGTTTTATTCTTTAAGCACTTTATTATTATTTTTTTATCTTCACCTGAGGACATTTTTGCATTTATCTTCGGATAGAGTGAGAGGGAGGGAGAAAGAGAGAGAGAGAAACATCGATGCGAGAGAAACACACCAAGTGGTTGCCACCCACAGGACTCCAACCAAGGCCTGGGACAAACCGCAACCAAGGTACGTGCCCTTAGTGGGAACCGAACCTGGGACTCTCTGGTCCGCAGGCTGATGTACTAACCGCTGAGCCAAACCGGTCAGGGCTCTTTCAGCACTTTAAATATGTCATCTTACTGTCTCCTGGCTTTCAGGGTGTTTGAAGAGAATTTGGCTGTTAATCTTGTTGAAGATCCCTTATACTTAATGTGTAGCTTCTTTCTTGCTGTGTACAAGATTCTCCCTTTGTCTTTGTCTTTTAATAGTTTGATGAAAATGTATCTCAGTGTGGATCTCCCTGCATTTATTCTACTTGGAGTTTGTTAAGAGTGTATAGATTCTTGTGTGTATAGATTCTATCTTTCATCAAATTTGGGAAATTTTTGGGCTGGATCCTGGAGCTGAAATATATTAATCAAACAGTTTCAGGTGTGTTAGCCCCTCCGCCTATGCATGCTAAGGTTTCTCTCCACTGGCTTGGGCAGGAGCTGTCATCTGCATGCGACCGATAGGAAAACCGAGTCTCAAGGAGCTGCTATAACAGTCTTCCCAGCTATTGGGTCCTTCTGTGATGTTGCTCACACCCATGATGTGCTGGGTGCTGGGCTAGAGCAGAGGACTCATCAAGAACAATGGCCCTGTTCTGGCAGGTTTGGCTCAACAGTTAGAGCGTTGGCCCACAGACCAGAGAGTCCTGGGTTCAGTGTCCGCTAAGGGTACATACCTCAGTTGCAGTTTGTCCCCGGCCCCGGTTGGGGTCGTGTGGGTGGCAATGCCAGGTGTAATTACCAATTTCTTCTATAGAATCAAGGATGATATGATTTGTGCTAGTTCTGAGGATGGCAGCCATGACAGCTGCAAAGTGACTGCCCTTGCCCCAGCCAGGACCTTACTGAAAACAGGAACCACCCCTCTCAACCTTGGGCCTGAGAGCAACCCCATGACCAACCTATCCTCAGAGTTTAATGAGAAAATGATTGCAGGCCTTACTTACATTCTCATCTTGTTTGTGTGTGTGTGTGTGTGTGTGTGTGTGTGTGTGTGTGTCTGTGTGTGTGTTTTATAATATGTTTTATTGATTTTCTAGAGAGAGAGGAAGGAAGAGAGGGAGATAGATAGAAACGTCGATGAGGGAGAACTTCGAATGGCCACCTCCTGCTGTTCCCCACTGGGGATCGGGCTCACAACCTGGGCATGTGCCCTGACTGGGAATCAAACCGGTGACCTCTTGGTGCATGGGTTGACGCTCAACCACTGGCTGGGCCACATTGGTATGTTTTAATTGATTCCTTGCAGAGTATTTTGTGGACTTGGGTGGCTTCCTGGACACCCTTATGGTTACCCATGTCCCATCCACTCCAAGACCACTCCCTAATTCCTAAATCTTTCTCTGCTTATCTAAACTATACATATTTTGTTGCAAACAGCAGAACTCTCTCAGGTTAATTCAATCAGAAGAATAATTTATGGAAGGACATTGGCAGCACTAGGGTCCCTGGGGGCTCAGAAGACTGGGTGGGGGTACTGTGGAGGAAATGCCCCTGAACACCCCAGTACCTGGTCTTACTGCAGCCCCCCAAAGGCTGACCTGGGACCAGGACTGGGGTGTAGATAGTTTATTTGGGAGGTGATACCAAGAAGCCCCAGTGAGGAGCAGGGAAGGAAGAACCCGATGAAGTTTGCCTGAATGAGGAGGTTACTGTGTGGACAGCTGGGGCGCAGTCCTGCTGGAGCCCTCTGAGAAACCACAGGGAATGCACCCCTACATCAGACTCTTGGAGGACAAGGATGCTGTGTGTGGGCACTTCTCTTCTGACCCCCAGAGGCTGAGGGTTGTCCTGGGAGCATGGGTGCTCCAAGTGGAAGCAGGCCCTGGTGAGGACGCCAGCACCTAAGGAGGCCTGGTGGATGGGCAGCAGTAAGTGTGCCTGGCTCTTCAGTGCTGTCCCAGAACCCAGCCTCAGCATGACAAGGGATCAGGCCAGCAGGGCAGACTCAGGGTCACCTTGGAACTGCTTAGGCAGATCTGCATTTTCATGATTCCCAAGTGCTGCGAGCTCAAGACAAGTGAGGAGCTAGGTTGGTCTAGATTTCTCCCCTTAGTTCCCCACCTCACAGTTCCCTGCTGTGGAGAGGCAAATGTAGGAGTCTTTGGAGATGCACCTTCCTGATTTCTTCCCCACACATGCCAGCAGTGCAGGTGTGTAGGGCATCACACTTGGGCTTTGTACCCTAGGGCAGCCATGCGAGGCTAGAACTTCCCTTCCCCCTAGCCACAGTAAGGAAACTGATGCTCAGTGAGGTGACAGAACTGCTGGAGTCACCCAGCTTACAAGGCCCGGGGTCCAGAGAGCACTCGGTCAGGCCTGGGTCTGGGCTCCATGTGGGGCCAGCCAAGCCAGAACTTCTACAGGAACAATAGTACTCAGGTGCCTTAGCGACCAGCACTGTAAGGAGCCAGGACCTGGGTCAGGTTTGGGAGAGAGCTGCCAAGGATCCTCTGAAGCTTCCTGTCCTGATCGCAGGCTCCTTCCCCCCTCCCTCACCTCACTGCCCTTGCTTAGCTGGGCCCAGGCTCCTGCCCTAGTTTTCAGCACCTTGGCCCAAACCAGGCTTCTTCTGAGAATTGCAGGTGTCCCTTTCCTGCCACCTCGAAAGTGCTGCTCAAAGCATCTTTGTTTGAGGCTGGACAGGTGAAGCCACAGTCCCTCCCTGGTCTTCTTAATTACCCCCTGGCAGGGCCCCGCCCCCTCCTGGCCTTTTAAGCCCCCAAGTACTCCCCCAGCCCAGTCAGCAGAGAGGGCACCAGGTTGTGTGAGGGTGAGAGCAAGGTCCAGGGACTGCCAGGGTGGGTGGAGGCAGCAGCTGGGCAACAGAAATAGAGGGTGGGGAAGGGGCTTACCTGGAGGCCTAGGGTGCCCAAGTCTCTAAAGGGTTGGTCTCTGAAGCCTGGGAAGCAGACAGAGCTTGGACCAGGGGAATAAGTCTGGGACCAACTAGGGGCTGAGGGAAGACAGAGGGCCTCTGAGAGGCTAGTGCTCTGGACTAGGACCCTCTCTCCCCTCTCTGCAGACTCCCACCAGAGTCTAAGGCCTGGGGAGTGCCACCTTTACCTAGCCCAGCCCTGAAGACAGAATGAGGGGGGCTTCCTGCTTCCAGGTCCTGCTCCTACTGCTGCTGGGTGAGTGCGGGGCAGGGGCTATGGGTGCTGACCACAGGGACCTTGACTACCAGATGTCCCATCTTATCTCTCTCTGGTCTGGTGCCCATAGAGCACTCCAGGGTGTCCTAGTCTTGGCTTCAAGGGTTCAAGTTCTCTCTATCACTGACCTTGGGCTCTCCAAACCCAGATGTGCTCATCTGCGTAATGGGTATAATAAGTCCCCACCTCACAGTGTTCTGGGGAGAGTTAAATTGGGTAACCGGTTGGACAAAATCCTGGCAACAAATATATTCCACCCTCCTTCCTAATCTGGAACCTCCCTTCCCCTCACCCCGTTATCTGAAACCAAATCCATAATCCAGTGCCTTTCCTACTTCCTCCTCCAGGAGCTGCTGGGACACTGGAGTCTGCAGGTTAGGAAGCCTCAGGGTCCCCAACCCCACCCCTGGAGCCAACCTCTCCCTAACCTTGGCTCTGTTTCCCGACCCCCTTCGCAAGCCCCAGTCCTCCGCCCACGCGCTGGTTGTTCCTCCTTGTCCTCTCAAAGACTGCGGGCAGCCTCATGCGTCCAGACGGATCGTGGGAGGCCAGGACGCCCGGGCCGGAGAGTGGCCGTGGCAGGCAAGCATCCAGCACCGCGGGGTGCACGTGTGTGGGGGCTCGCTCATCGCCCGCCGGTGGGTACTGACGGCGGCGCACTGCTTCCCGAGGTCAGCGGCCAGACACCAGGCTGGAGCAAGGGGATACGGGAATGAGGGGGAGGAGGAGCGGGAAGCAAGACCCAGAGAAAATGGGGCACCACCTAGCGGCCGCACAGGATTGGTAGGGGGACGGAGCGGGCTCCAGGGGGACAGCGAAGACTGGAGCCCTGCTGGTGTGAACGAGGGGCTGCTGTAAGTAGCCCTACTCCTGCCACGCAGGAAGGCGCCACTGTTTGAATACCGCGTGCGCCTCGGGGCGCTTCATCTGGGTCCTGCCTCGCCCCGCGTTCTCTCGGCGCCCGTGCAGAGGGTGCTGTTGCCCCCTGACTACTCTGAGGATGTGGCCCGTGGTGACCTGGCACTACTACAGCTGCGCCGCCCGGTGCCCCTAAGCTCCCGAGTCCAGCCTGTGTGCCTGCCAGAGCCCGGGGCCCACCCACCACTCGGTACACCCTGCTGGGTCACCGGCTGGGGCAGCCTCTTCCCAGGAGGTGAGGCAGAAGTCCGGGCACAGGGGTACTTGGGGAGGGCCAGGAATTCCCTCTCCACCTCCCTCTGACCTGGCATCCCACCCACGACTGGCTCAGTCTGGGACCCAGTGCAACCTCCAGGCACCCAAAACTCCTCCCAGTCCGGCAAGTTGGATTCTCAGGTGAGGCCTCTCCCACCCACTCATGCTTACTGCCACACCCTCTCTCGTCTCTCATAAGTACCCCCTTTTTCCCCAGTGCCACTCCCAGAGGGGCAACCTCTTCAGGGAGTAAGAGTGCCATTGTTGGATACACACACTTGTGACCACCTGTACCATGTTGGCACCAACGTGCCCCATGCTGAGCACATAGTGTTACCAGAGAACCTGTGCGCTGGCTACATCCAGGGCCACAAGGATGCCTGCCAGGTGCGTGAAACTGCCTTAAACCTCTGGAGTTCATGCTTCTGTGCCCAGCACCCTACCTCCCTTGAACCCAGAATGCAGGAGGTACCACCTCCAGGCTCAGAGTCCTGGCTCCCAACCCAGATGCACCACCTGAGGGACTGGAGCCCTAGTACTGCCATCATAGTCTCCAGAGGGCTGGGACCTAAGCTTGCCTTTCTCTTGCAGGGTGATTCTGGAGGACCCTTGACCTGCTTGAAGTCTGGGCGCTGGGTCCTGGTGGGCGTGGTGAGCTGGGGCAAGGGCTGTGCCCTGCCCTACCGTCCAGGTGTCTATACCAATGTAGCCATTTACAGCCGCTGGATTCACGCTTGCCTCAGCCTCTGATGTGGTGACACTGACCTGGAGTCAGGTGCTGGGGTTCCTCAGCTACTTGTTCCCTCTGGGGACCTTCACATTCCCCACCACTGCCACTTCTGACTTGAGGCTCAGAGGCCTGATAAAGCTAAGGAGCCATCTGTCCATCCCCTGCCTTCCTGGGTCTCACCAAACTTGAGCGGCCAGCCCCACTCCAGGAGCCTCCCATGTGTGGGGCTCTCACACTCCTGTCTTCCCCTTCCTGCTCATTTACCCTTCTTTGCTCCAGCCAGGGCTGGGCCTGGGCACCCAGAGATGGGTAAGTGGCATCTCAGTTTAGCCTGTGTGCCCCTCTTTTTCTGGAGGAATTCAGGGAGATTCGAAGTGTAGAGGGATTCATCACTAAGGAGATGGTTTTCCATCTCTAGCTTTGAAGGGGGGGGGAGGGTTGTCATGTGGCAAGGAACTGTGAGCAGTCTCCAGGAGCTGAGGGCAGCCTTGGCTGACAGCCTTCAGGGAAAGGGAATCCTCAGCACTATGACTGCAAGGAATTGAATCTGGACAATACCTGACCTAGCATGGAGGCGAATTCTTCCCCCAACCTCCAATAAAAGCCCACCAGGCCAAGCCCTTGATTTTGGCCTGGTGAGACCTCGGCAGAGAACCCAGCTGAGCCCAGCCAGACTTCTGGCCCACAGAGCTGTGATTTAATAAATTTGTGTTGTTTAAAGCTGCTATGTTTGTAGTCATTTGTTACACAACAGGAAATGAATCTACATTTTTTTCAATTTTTTCCCCCCTTTATTGATTTTAGAGAGAGAGGAAGGGAAGGGAGAAGGAGAGATAGAAACACCAATGAGAGAAACATCGATTGGCTGCCCCCTCATGCCCCTCACTGGGGACTGAGCCTCCAACCTGGGCATGTGCCCTGACCTGGAATTGAACTGGCGACCTTTTGGTGTATGAAACACACCAGCTGGGCATTTTTTTTTTTTTTTTAATCCTCAAGGATCTTTTTTCATTTATCTTCAGATAGAGTGAGAGGGAGGGAAAAACATTGACATGAGAGAGACACATCGATTGGTTGCCTCCCACATGACCCCGACCAGGACCAGGGACTGAACCACAACTGAGGCACGTGCCCTTGATTGGAATTGAACCTGCAACTCTTTGGTCCGCCGGCTGACGCTCTAACTGCTGAGCCAGACCAGCCAGGGTCAAATCTACATTTTGCCCCACCACGATGAAGGTACCTGGGGGCAGGATAAGCCTCCACCAGGCTCAGGAGTCTGGGCCTCCTGGCATCATGCTCTCTGCTCAAAAGAGGCCAGGAGCCGCAACTAGACCTGGCTGGAGCTTGTGCTGTCATTGTTGTTTTCTGTGTTACCCCATCCATACTCTGGGGGAGTCTAGAGCTGGGTCCTAGCCTTGGCCAGAAACTCCAGGCCCAGGACCCCCAAAACCTGTATTTGGAGACTGGCTTAGACCCTTTACAACTCCCTGCCCACCTTCATGTGCCTGGGACCTGCCATGTCTTCATCCCCAGGCCAAGAACATCACCCATCCCTGTAGAATAGATAGAGCTCAGTTTCTAGGGCTGCAGGAAAAACAAGAAACTGAATAAAACCTGGAAAACTCAAAGCCTAAACTTTGGAGTTGACAGCAGCAATAGGTAAACAGGGAACGGGAAGGCCATCATCAAAGGTGCAGTCTGGTGGAGTAGGCCCAAGTGCAGCTGCCCCCTTAGAGGCCTAAGCCTTGTCTGCATTCCTTTTTTTCCCAGGAGAGAAAGTAGCTGCACCAGGTGGTCACTGCTGGGTCAGGCCAAGCAGTGAGAGTCTACGGATTGGGGCTGCAGGGAATTCCAGGCTGCTCTTTCCCCCAAGGCTGAGGGCCATCTATCTAGGGTACAGCTTAACTGTTTCTGGGGAGTTATCGGGGACCAGGATGTCCCGAAGAGGATATGGATGTGGCACACCAGCCCTGCAAAAGGTTGTGGGTACATCTGTGGTGGGACCCAGAGGACCCCTACTGGGTGATACTGGCCATTCTCCCATTTTTCTCAGTCTGAGGCCAGCCAAGGAATGCCTCCTAAAGCACTGAGATGGGAACAAGCCAGGGGCTGGAGCCAGGGTTCCTCAGCCTTGGACCTGCTGTGATTTGAAAAATGGATTTTCATTCAGAGCCCAGTGTTTCTGAAGCACAACCTAGGAGGTGGGGGAGGGACAGGAACTGGACAGGGAAGGGAAGGGTCAGTGAATGAGAATAAGCTACTACTGGTCAGGCTCTTACCAGACACTGTGCAGAGGGCTTTTTACTGGACCATCTCAATGGTTTTTTCACCTGAGACTGTGAAGTAGGTTTGTTTTTCCATTTGTCAGATGAGAAAACTGAGGCCCAAAGTCACGCAGCTGGTAGATAGTAGACTGGAATTTGAACCCCGGTGGTCTGATTCCAGAGGAAGCTGGGAATGGTGGAGGGTAGATTACCCCTTTTGTTGTCTTCACTTCTTCCCAGCCCTGTTCCCCTTGGCCCATTCCTGGTGTGGCAGCCTTGTGAAGCTGGGCAAGTAACAGAACTTTTCAGCCTGGCAGCACTTCTCAGCCCGACAGCCTGTACTGCAGCATCCTGTCAGCAAGGTCAGTGTGTGTGTGTGTGTGTGTGTGTGTTTGTGTGTGTGTGGTGGGGGGGTGACCTGGCCCTGGTCAGTGTGTGTGTGTATGTGGGGAGGGTAGCCTGGCCCTGCATCCTGCCCCTGGCCTCACCATGGCTGTCTGACCTGCCAGGTGGCAGGCTGGAGATTGTGCCACCTGGGGTGGCAAGGGTGGTCCTGGGAACTTCCAAGCACAGAGGATGCTGGGCTCCTATCTCAAACAGGCATTTCCTAGTTGTCCACCTGATCCTGTCTGTGGTGCTGAAACCAGATGGCCTTGTCTCTCCCAACAATACTGATTCAACCTCATTTCCCCTTCCATAATCTAAACCGTTGGGAGTCAAGCTACACCAATCATTGTCCCGCCCACTAAGCACGTATGCTGTACCAGGCATGGATGGGCTCTCATGGGTGTTTTCATTTCCCATGTCCATGGGTGGAAAACAGGCATTGAGAGGTTAAGTGATATGTCCTAAGGCACACAGCAGGTAAGAGGTGGAGCCAGAATTGAAGTGGGCAACTGACTCAAATTCCAGAGTGAATGTCACTTCCCTTATGGAGATTAAAGTAGTTAGTTGTAAAACACTCTACAAATAAGAGGCACGCTAATAACTAGGTGGTCATTGATAATTACTATGTATTAATCAATGTTAAAAAAAAATAGGGGGATCTGGAGGGGAATGCCCACCAAGGCCAAGATCCTACAGGCTTACTTTGCAGTGTACCTGTCATGAGTGTTGGATAGTTGAGGGAAGGGGGCAGAAAGGACCCAGTCTTTTCTGGGCAGGGAAGCAAGATCTGGCCAGCCAGCTCACCTATCATCTTGAGACTCCCATTCTGTCATGGCCTCTAGGAAGGAGGACATACATACACCCAGCAAGACCATAGAGCACAGGGGTTGGGGTGGTGGTCAGCCCCTGCTCTCCGCTCAAACCACATCCCCCAACCCATTCCCACTGTGTAGGAAGTATCATTGCACTGAATGACAGGGAAGCCCACAGTCACCTCTTGCAACCAACTCACCAAGTAGACAGAAACCTGCCTCTGAAGAGAACTCCCTAATTCTCCCAAGCCACATGACCTGACACCAGCTTTAATCAGACACCCTGGCATTGTGCTCTCTGTGCATTAGCTCATTAATACTCCCAAATGTCCTAAGGGGTCCAATTGTGTATTCTCTCTTCCTGGATGGAAAAACAGGTGGAGGTTCAGTGCCTTGCACAAGATCACAGTTAATAAGCTGGGGTTTGCCTGGCCAGTGTGGCTCAGTGGTTAAGCATCAATCCATGCACCGAGAGGTCACTGGTTTGGTTCCAGGTCAGGAAACATGCCCAGGATGTGGGCCCAGTCCCCAGTGGGGGGCATGCAGGAGGTGGCCAATCAATGTTCTCTCATCGATGTTTCCTATCTCTCCCTCTCCCTTCCTCTCTGTCTAAAAATCAATAAAGAAAAAAAGAAAAAGAAGCTGGGGTTTGAACTCAGTTGGTGTGTTGGAAGGTAGGCAGGGATAGGCATGATCCTCAGGGGGGTGGGGTTGGGGGCTAAGAGGACTGTCTAGGTTATAGGTAAGCTAAGAGGAGTGATTAAGTGATTAAGTGAAAGAAAAGCCTCTATCCTTCACTCTAGCATGACTGCAATTGGGGGTGATGCAGGACAGTGTCCAACATTGAAGGAAAGGCTAGGCTGTTGGTAAGATGCTCCCCGAGAAAGGCCACTAGCTAGGTAAATAAGTCTATAGGCCCTGCCAGAGCCCAAGTGCACCTAAGCAGGGAGGCTGGCGGGTGCCCAAGGCCCCAGGGTCCAAGGAGCTCCCCTTTTCTGGTCAGCCAATCACCAACTTCCGCCATGCCTGCTGATTCTCCCCAGTTAGTTCGCCTGCCCCACTACCTAACACCAACAGCAACTTGCTGAACATAAAGTCTTACGGGCTATAAAGCCTCTCTGAACTTAATGAAACAGACTTACACCTAAGGCTGGGGGAGGGAAATGGGGGCAGTCCTCCCATATGGTGGCTGAAGGTCCAGAATTTAAGGCCTTCTCAAAATGACAGCCAGAGAGCTCTGGAACCACGAGTCAGACCCCTCAATATGGAAGCCCAGGTTTCACTGAGGGGCGAATGCCTTGCCTCTCCGATGACCAAGCAACATATTCATTCACTCTCCCTGAATGTGGGAGTACCCTATGCTTGTAAAGCCAGCCCCCATATCTACAAAAGAAGGCTGGGCCTTCCCGACTGATCAAAATAGAAACCTCGCCTTTGCCACTACCAAGATGGCGCCACCTCCTCCCGCGTCCCTCCCGCGCTTGGTCCCTGCCCGGTTCCAACCACCTCCGCTACCCTGTCAACCGGTGATACCTCGCGTCACGGCGCCAAGAT